ATATTATATGTGTAGTTAAAGTTCCACTGGGAGTAAAGTTTAGGCACATGGAGATATTGATAAAATCACAAGTACTACTCTGTATGTTTACTGAAACCAGCAGCCACAATGCTTATTTTGTTCTTTAATTCTAACATTTGTAGTTATGGATAAAATAGTTTTTTTTCAAGATTTAGTCAATTTGATTGATAAGGCCAAAGTAATGAAGTTTTTTATTATGCCAGGAGAAATGAACTGACATCTGACTTAAATATAAATTTGAGGTTACATGAATTTTTTGTCACAGTAGTTTGAAATTAGGTTTGGACCCTGAACTGTTGTATAATTTCATCAAATTTTAAAGGGACAAAAAGGAGCTTATTAGCCCATCAAGGATGCCTCTTCCAGCTCCCAAGTATAACCACCCCCTTACTATTCATGTATTCAGCCAATCTTTTCTTGAACTCAGTTAAATGTTCTGCCTCTACCACTTTTGAAGGCAACTCATTCCAAAAGCCAACAACCCTGTTTAAAAAGTAATACTGTCTAAACTGCAGACGATTCCTATGCTGCTAAAATTTGAATTTATGTCCTATTGTTCTAAGCATAAAGTTTGATGGATCTATAATTATCAATACCCACTTCGATCAAATCCCCTCTGACCCTTCTCCTCTCCAGAGAAACTTTAATTATTAAACCCCCTTCATAATAGAATTATCACAGGATTTGTACACATCATTAAGTCCTACAATATATATTTATAAGAGTTACAAGTAAATCTGTCATATTTAATGGTATGTACTCTGAAGATAGGTAAGATGAGCAAAGAAATGTACAAATAGACATTTACGCTAAGCCTAAAATTAGTGAACTAATACCCAGAGCTAAGGTAAGCCTGAAGTTGATCTTCTAACATCCAGAAAGCTAAGCCTAAAGTTAGTGATCTAACGTCTAGACACTGAAGCTAAGCCTAAAGTTAGTGATCTAACGTCTAGACACTGAAGCTAAGCCTAAAGTTAGTGATCTAATGTCTAGACACTTCAGCTAGATCTAAATTGTGTTCCAAAAGATTAGCATGCATGTAAATATATATTTATTCATTTAGAACAATGCTATTTTTACATTATACATTTTTCAATATTTACACACAATAGCCCAGATTGTCACTTCAACCAAAGATTTCTTGATACAAGATAAGTATTTTTTAAAGATAATGTCAGTTATGTCTGAATACTATTTTATTGATTTCTTTGTTAGTTCAGATTACAGTTATAAATTGAACTTACAATTCTAAAAATTCTTATTTTGTGTGTATTTTTTTTAAACAACACATTATCACAAAAAAAGTGTTTTGAATAAATATTAGAACATGTAAATAATCGTTTTGAAAATTAAACATACACTTGTATTGTAAGTCTTGTTTTATTTGTGTGGTGTATGCAGAGTGAATGTTTTATCACGTTTTAGGAAAAAGTTGTGATCACACTGCATCATCCAATTCTCATTACAGTATTGTACAAACACTACATTTTATTTTAATCTTTGAATAACATTGGTTAATTACAATGAATCCTTGAATTATGACTTAATTATTTCAAGGCCAAGAAAAATCCCCATTTTTTTGAGAAAATTGTTGAAAGTCAGATTTTTTGTTTGTGCTTAATAATGAATATTTTTTTTGTTTAAAAAAGAAGATTGGTAAGAATTTACTAAATATCAAATGAATTTGATGAAAGGATGTCCCAGGTTTATTACTTAAACATGATTTGTGGCATCTTCTTTAAAAGACAAAAAAAAGTTTTATTTATATGTATACTGTATATATATGTGTGTGTGTGTGTGTGGACCTCATATTAGGGTGCAACTGTCACGAACTTCAGTCCTTGAATTTTGGATGTTAATTTGTATGAACCCTAATTTCTTGTAGTATGTGCAGAATTAAGTAGTTAAACTTTTGGACCTTAACAAAGATGGATTTGTGAAAAACATTGAGATACAATTGTAAAGTTGAAAAAAACTCTTAATGAAATTATCTTGTTTTAATTAAATGGCACTTGT